TCTTCACAGAAGCAAAGCCCAAACCACACCCACTGCATGGAGTCCATTCCGACCAACAGCACCCCTAGAGGACAGAGTGGAACTGCCCACAGGGTCTCCAAGGCTGTCAGTCTTTACAAGAGCAGACTACCTCATCTTTCTCCCATGGAGTGGCTGGTGGGTTCAAACTGCTGACCTTTTGGTTAGCAGTCAAATGCCTTAAACGTTGTGCCTCCAGCTCCTGATGGTGTGAGGTCCCATCATTTCCTATCTTTTTTGCGGCATCCTTCAACTTTTCCTCTAACCCATCTGTCACAAACCCTGCAGACAGAGCTTTCTCAAACACGGATGGAAACACTTCCGCAGCCCCACTGCCTGCACCGTCTCTGTCCAAGTGCCTTAATGTGGCCACTGAGCTCATCCAGGGTCAGCTTCCACTTTTCCTTCCTAATGCATCCCCCCATCACCATGCTACAGCCATGCTACCACGTCACGCTCTCATGCACCTATCTGTCTTCATGGCGACTATTTCCTCAGCCTGCAATGTCCTCACCTGTTCTCTGCGTGAGAAGCTCACCCATCAGCATCCAGCTTAACTCTCACTTCCTCCAGAAGTGGGGCCTGGCTCCCCGAGGCCTTTTCTGCCCCTCTTCCTGGGCGACCACGGCCACGGCCAGGCCCCCTCAGCAGCCGCACCCATCTCAGATGCCGACATCCCATCTAACTGGACAACGAGCCTGCGGGGGCAGTGAATGACTCTGCCCAGCCCTCCAGCCACAGTCCTCCACCATGTGATGTGTTGGGAACCCCAGCCTCTGAGTCTGTGGTTGTGGTCTCACACTGGCATGAGTTGTCTGATATATTAATGGGGGTGGGATGTATCCTGAGTCACTGCCTTACTGGAGGGTGTGACTCAAGGCACCACGCTTAGCTTCCTGGAGGGTACGGTCTGCACCCAACATAGATGGATGTCCTGGAGGAGTTCGTGCTCTTGCCCTGGATCAAGCCAGCAGCCTGTCGTCTGACCCGATCCACCAGCCTCCATGGCCCTGTGAGCCAGCAGCCTGTCGTCTGACCCAATTCACTGCCCTCCGCGGCCCTATGACCCGATGCACTGGCCTCCACAGCCCTGCGAGCCAGCAGCCTGTCATCCAAACCGATTCACCGGCCCCCACAGGCCTGTGAGCCAGCAGCCTGCCGTCTGACCCGATCCACCAGCCTCCGCAGCCCCGTGAGCCGGCAGCCTGTCGTCCGACCTGATCCACCGGCCTCCGCGGCCCCGTGAGCCGGCAGCCTGTTGTCCGACCCGATTCACCGGCCTCCGCGGCTCTGTGAGCCGGCAGCCTGTCATCTGACCTGCTGATTCGGGCTCATTGGCCCCTGCAACCACGTCAGTGAGCAGATGCCTCCAGACTGATGCCCACTCATGGGCTTGGGGCTTGCCAGCCTCCACAACTGCGTGAGCCATTTCCACAGTGGTTTGCGAGTTTTGAGAGTTGCTGTGGTGAATGACGGAACCCTAAGATGCAAGGCAGGGCACTAAGGGGAGGCGTGGTTGATGTTAGAAGCTGTAACACCTCTAACCTTGGAAAAGATGGACATTTGGGACATCTTTAACCTTTGCCTCACAGGGACCAGCCTTGCGCTGATCCTTCTAGAAGAAATTATTTGTGTAGAGCCCTAAAGGCAGGGGTGTGCTTACCTGACTTTGCAAGGCCTTCAAAACCCAGCTGGCTGCCTCCTATCTAACAGGCTTTCTTCAAGATGTGAGGGTGCGTGCTTGCTTGTTACAGACAGTGTGATGCTTCAGGAGGTCAAAGCAACCAGCTCATTCTGAAAGGAACCAGGAGCTACCTGGGCAGCTCCACAGGGCAGTGGGGTGCGGGAGGTGTCTGCTCTGCGTGAGGGAGAGCCTAGCATGTTTGTGGGCTGAGAGGAAGAAGTCAGGGTACACAGGCTGAAGAAGCGGGTTGGTATACAAAGGGCCAGAGGAAGTAGGTCAGAGTCTTTGCCCTTCGAGAAAGGAGGGAAGAGGTTTAAAGTCATGTGACATGATTTCGTGACCATTTTCCTTCAAAAATTTTGATCCTCCAAAGCAACTGCTAATTTAAAAGTTTCTTTATTTGATACGTGAAATATTTGTCATATTGTCATGCCCTAACTTTGGAACACTTGAATGTTTTCCTTTGTTTTTAATTACCAGTAACTTAGTGAAGTTCCTTGTATACAAACCTGTGTGCACATCTCTGACTACTGTCTCAGGACAACTTCACTAGGAAACACTTTCCGGGAGAGGCAGCTGGCCCCAGAGCAGGGGAACTGGATTGAAGTGACCAAATGGGGACAGTGAGGTTGAGGGGCCAAAAAGGCTCTGGTGGAATATTCCTGAGGATGCTGGGGGAGGGTTGGGAGACAAAGGAGCCAGAAGGGGTAGCGGGAAGGGCATTCAGTGGAGGAGAAGTTGAAATCTGGTTGAAGAACAAGTCCAGCAAGAATATCTGACTTTACACCAAACAGGAGTTCAGCTTCTTGAGTAAAGACTGTCTGAGCACTGTGCTCTCTGGGAGAACTACCCATATGGGGTCAAACCAACAACAACAACTCAAAGACTGGACAGGAAGTTCAAGGGGGCAGCGAGCTCATGCTAACAGAGGAGGCACAACTTGGAAAAGGAGGTGAGGACCGTTGCTCAACTCGAAGAATGGAGTCAGTGTCATTGAGTGTCTGTGCAGAAAGTGTTGAATTGGTGCATGTTTTCCTGTGTATAATTCCAACAATCTTTTTAAAAAAATGAAGAATAAAGAACATTTGATTGACCACCCAGTTAAGAGTAGAGTCTCCGTCTCCTGTCCCCAGAGCTGTTTCCTGTAGCCAAGGCCTCCTCCCGCACTCAGGTGTCACGCTCTGCCAGCTGTCAATCCTGCCCTCCTGTGACCTACCTCCCTGGGGCGAGCAGAATTGAGCCCTCTGAGAACATGCACTTCCTAGTGGCCCAGCTCTGCCTGGCCCGATGCTGCACATCTCAGGGGTCCATACCTCTCTGGGACTGGCTTTTGGACAATGGGCTGCTGAGGAGAGAAAGGACAGGCGGACACTCACGGTCCTCGTGCGTCCAGACGAGCTGGGGTGTACTTGAAGGCCCATCCCCCGGTGTGGTGAAACACAAGACGGATGTGAAGTACGCAGTGAACTTCTTCAGGTTGGTGATGTACCCGTGGTGGACACCGTGGAAATCTGGAGCGATGGTGACGACAGTGAGAGCCTCGGGGACATCCACTGGCCAGGCTAGAAGCTGGGATGGAACAGGGTGAAAAAGAGAACCTTTTAATTGCTTTAAATTTAAAAAAATAATTTGTTTAATGTGTTTGTTGCTGAGGACAGGCCCAGCAGAACAGACACCAATCAGCAGCTTCTGCAGTCACGGTTCAGGGACACTGACTGCACTCTGTGCTGTGCAGCCCTCCTCACCCTCCTTCCTCCTGCGTCAGCACACGTTCTCCGCCCTCCAAGCTTCCTGTCTGACCTTTCGAGTTGCTCTCATCGATTTGATCCCATAGAGACAGATCTTACAGCGGTGCCATGTTCCAGGCAGATGTTGTTTGCTATGAATTGCACTTCTTCACTCTCAATTCTCCATCAGAACTGTATTGTAAATGGACATGTCTTCAAAACAAGTGAAACCATCATTAAGAACATCCAGAAATCCTGCGGCTCAAAATCTCACCGAAATGTTGAATTGGAGAAATATCTTACAGGTTCTGATATACAAATATGCATATGTTATGTATTTGGACATATAAACCAAAAACCAAACCCACTACCGTGGAGGCCATTCTGACCCACAGCGCCCCTAGAGGACAGAGTGGAACTGCCCACAGGGTCTCCAAGGCTGTCAATCTTCACAGAAGCCAACTGCCTCATGTTTATCCAACAGAGCAGCTGGTGGGTTCTAACCACCAATCTTTTGGTTAGCAACCAAATGTCTTAACCACTGTGCCACCAGAGCTCCTCATAACCATGTATAAATAAAATAGCTACTTCAACTCATCTTGGGATAATAGGCACACCCTCAAGTCTTCACCTTCTCTTCATTAAGTATGTTCCAGAACACGTATGTTCTTAACAATAAGGAATAAAGATGGTGCCACATCATTCTATGGAACCAGTGTGACAAAACCTAAATACAAACATTTTCCCATATAGGCCTCTGACTCCGTGGGGACAGTCTAAGGTATCTATAAGTTATACCACCTGCATCCTCAAAAGGATTTAGAATGTTGGCTATCATTTTTAAGAAATAAAATCTACCTACTTATTCCAAGGAAATAACCACATGTGTGTATGACTCAATTCTTTGACACCAAACATCTCTAGGATAAATTAGGCCTGGACATTGACATGCTGCAGGACAAAATCCTATTTATACAGATCAAACCAACCACTAAGCTATGAAATGAGCGTCTGCTCCTGCCAGTGAGAGCTGACAGAGAGCCGAGAAGGCAAACCGTCTTGTGGATCAATATGATTTCCTTTCAAAGGCCTCTTCTGACTTCAGGTTCCTCTGGGGAAAAGTAAGGCAGGGCCAGAATCTAGATTCTTCTGACTTTCCAGTGAAAAACCAGATTTTCATAAGTTGAATAGAGATGGAAAAAAAGCGAGCCCATGTGTCTGAGGCAATAATCCCTCTGGATCTGAAACTATCGAGGGTCCACGGCAACGGGATGGTATTCGTTCTCTACAAAGGTCTTCCTGGAATTTACCTGCCATTAAGGAGGCTTTGCCAATAAGCTGTAGGTAAAATTCCGGTAGGCTCCACGTGGAGCGCGGCGGTCAGCTTCAGCACACGTTTGGAAACTGTGTCCACGTCCATCCATGAAGGCAATATACTCTGGTAGCTGATGACGCTAATGGTGGATGGTGGAGTTTATCTGCATCCCTAACTCAGTTCAGGTCAGTACTACGGGGCCACTGGGTTAAATGGTTAACACGTCAGCTGCTAACCAAAACATCAGAGGTTCAAGGTCACCCAGAGGCACTCTGGAAGAAAGGCCTGGTGATGTACTTCTGAAAGATGAGCAACTGAAGAAGCCGTGGATCCTGGTCCCACCCCAACACACACGAGGTCGCCGTGTGGAGCGCAGTCCTACCCTGACACACACAAGGTCACTGTGATCAGCGCGACTGAAGACCCCGTGCAGCCCGGTCCCACCCCGCCACACACGAGGTCGCCGTGAGTCAGAGCGGACTGGATGGCACTGGTTTGGGTCTCTGGAACCAGCTGGCCTCAGATCTTATATCAGAAATCTTCATGAAGTAGGGAGTGAAGGAATAAATACCCTGATTTCTGGAAAGGCTAGTCGAGTGGATCCAGCCCCTTGACTCTAAGTCTGTGCTGTTTGAAGAAGGTTCCTTCCAAGGAGCAGGGGTCTGTACAGATGCCGACTGCAACCGACTGAATGGTGTCTCCCCAGCGGTTGCTTTGAAATGAAAGGTCTTTCTCCTAGGAACTCGCTCTCTTCTGCATGACCCATCCTCTTGGTGACGGATACTTTCCGAGCTTCCCAGCAATTCCAGGACAGCTGGTGACAAGCCCCTGGATCAGTGGTGACCCTGACAAGGTCAAGGCACTCTACAGTGGGCGCCCCCATTTGCATTACACATTCGTGACACACCCACACAGCCACCCTAAGGGGCTGCAGGATAATTACCTTGTATCCCTGGTTGATGCCGTTGATAAACTGCTGAGGTGGAGGGTTCCACAGGAACTGGACCGTCGTGGAGTTCACTGCTTCCGTCTGCACGTTCTGAGGGGGTGCGGTGGGGACTGTTCATGGGAGTCGGCGTCGGAGGCAGCAGCATGCACGGCAGGAGGCACGGTGGGGAGGAGAGAGGAGAAGAAAGCTTAGTGGTCACTCATGACTCCGAGCAGTCACAGCACTGGGAGCAGGGAAGGGTGATGAATGTCTTTGGAAGGCAACAGAGGCACTGCACCAAAAGAGAACGGGGCTAGTTCCCATTTTCTGTTGGAGAATTCTTGAACGAGCGGGCAGCAAAGAGGCCTGGATCACCTCCTTCCACGGGCGAACCTTTCTATGGCCCTCAGACAGAACACAAATGAAGCTTTGTCCAAGTTCTTTTCCAATGGCCACTCCTTGAAGTCAAGGTAAGGCTTTCCCTGGAACTACCTCCCCATTACATACCACCGTGCTTCAAGCCAAACCACCCATTACATGAAAAATTTAAAACAAACAAACAAACAACAACAACAGCCAAAACTATACCCACTCCTCGCTGACAGACATGGTTAGGTTCCAGAGACTAGGATGTCATGCAAAAATGGAGGATGACCACATTGGACCACAAAATGGAGGGGGACTAACCCATCACATAATCACAAATTACATCATTACATAACAGTCAGACCACTGAGAATGATGGCCTGGCCAAGCTTGCACATAACCTTAACCACCACAGCTAACGTTACTCTCACCTCACACACTGGTGTTGGTTGCCACCAGATGCATGTCATTAATGAGCAAACAGTCATACAATAGAGTTTTTACAACTGTTGTAAGTGCAAAGTGTCAGATAACAAGATAACACATAAGGAAGGAGCATATGCAATGCTGGCCATGGTCACATTTAATTGTCTGAAGGTGAAATCTCTACTCTTGTCCATCACTAGGAGCAAACGTTTTTGAATTTTCTGGTGGTTATACATTTCTTCCATCACCCATCTGTTAGTTTGTTGTTTGTGGTGGCTGGTGTGTTGCTGTGATACTGGAAGCTATGTCACCAGTATTTCAGATACCAGAAGAGTCACCCATGGTGGACAGGCTTCAATGCATTTACAGACTAGGAAGAAAGGCCTGGCAATTAATGTCTGACAATCAGCCAATGACAACACTGTGGGTCTCAACAGAATATTGTCTGACTTGCTTGTTTTGAACACATCATCAGGAGGAGCAGTTGTCGGAGGTAGACATCATGCTTGGTGAGGTAGAGAGTAAGGGAGGCTCTTGGTGAGATGGATTGTCATGGTACTGTAATGATGAGCTCGTGTGCTGGTGATTATGAACATAATGCAGGACCTGGCAGCATTTGTTCTGGTGTACAGAAGGTCACCAATGAGCTGGCATCAACTCTGTCTATCTATCCATCCATCATCCATCCATCCATCTATCCATCCATCATCCGTCCATCATCCATCCATCCATCCACCACCCATCCATCATCCATCATCCATCCATCCATCCATCCATCACCCATTCATCTATCCATCATCCATCATCCATCCATCCATCTATCCATCATCCATCCATCTATCCATCCATCATCCATCATCCATCATCCATCCATCATCCATCCATCATCCATCATCCATCCATCACCCATCATCCATCCATCACCCATCATCCATCCATCATCTATCCATCCATCATTCATCATCCATCCATCATCCATCCATCACCCATCATCCATCCATCATCTATCCATCCATCATTCATCATCCATCCATCATCCATCCATCATTCATCCATCCATTCATCTACCTATCTTTTTACTAAACAGCTGCTGAGCTCAATTATATACCTGCTGAATATCCTGCCTTTAAGGAACTCACATTGTAGGGGAGATGCTCATTGAAGTAAGCAGGCAAATTACTCTACTGAGCAGTAAATACACAGCGTGAAGCCACTGACTTAGTCCCAGGAAGGTGCTGAAGGCTTCCAGTCGGGCAGCACTTGGACAGACCTCTGATGGGGAAAAGGCATGAGGAGGGCCTTCTCAGCTGGGAAAACAGTGGGCAAAGGCACCGGGTTATGAGGGAGCCTGGGCAACGGAGAGGAAATGGGATGCCTGGATATGGGCTGTATGGGGCAAGAGAGGGTAGCCAAGGAGGTGGATAGGGCTCTTCGGGATGGCCTACTAGGACAAATAAATGGTAGTTGAGAATCCACAGCGTCGGCAATGGGGAACCAGAAATTTTTTGAAAAAGGCAGTGATGTGGCTTAGGTGGCTTTTTAAGGACAACAACTCCAGCAGTAAAGTAAGTAAGTCCACTGGCTGTACCACCAAACCCTCTGCAGAGCGAAAAGGAAGGCCACAACTCTCTAGGAGCTTGCTTCAACAGTGAGATGCAGAAGCTCCAACGATCCTTTGGCTCAGAGTTGAGAAACAAAGACAAGGGTCTACTGACGTGGAATCCATTGGGACAGCTTTCATGGTTCTCTTCCTCAAAAGCCCAAACAACAACAACAAACAATACCCAGTCCTCACTTGTTATGTGTCTGCTTGGCCAGGCCATCATGGTTAGGCTGCAAAACCCAGCAGAGGTTGACCTGCAGACTTGAGACACACCTAAACCCTCCAGGTGCTCTTTAGACCACGCTCTCTCTACCCATCTGCTGTCGACTACGGCAGTGATGGCCTTCAGTCCCTCTCTCCATAAGTCCCCTGTCCTTCTTCCCATTCATCCAGAATTTGTGGGTTAAAAATGGTCACAGGGCTTGCTGTATTGCCTAGGATATATAAAGTTGAGAAGAACATCACACCCACTAAAGAAAAAGCTGAATAAACCACAAAATTATAACTTTTCCTGAACCCATCAGAGATCTCAGAGGTCATAGGGGAAACAAGTAGCCTGAAATCTAAGAAAAGACGGGCCCTTCCAAGGAGTAAGGATAAGAGTACATAAGACAATGGACAACCACATAGCTGAGTCAGAACAATGCAGCTGAAGTTCTTCATGAATTGCTAAGGGCTGAGAGCAGGCTAGCATGCAACCATGGAATGTTGGAAGCTGCAGACCCAGGAGGCTATGCTGCATATATTTTCACCAAAATAAAATAAAGACTCAGATTATCATTATAAAAATTCACTACATACAGAGGAACAAGGTTGAGAATTACTGCCTCCTCATCAGAAACCAGGTCAGCCAGAAAGTCACAGACTGACATCTAGAACACACATACGAGAATCTATCTTCCCAGAATCCTCCACCGGGAAAATGTATTCTGGATGTGAAAGCAAAGTAAAAGTATCTTCAGACAGACCAAAGCTGAGAGAATGCATTACTGGGAGACCTTCACTGCAAAAGCTGTTAAAGGAACATCTTAAAGCAGAAGAAATATGTCCCCACACAGACACCGCAACCTTGTACTCACACAGAGAAATGAAGATCTCCAACATGGTTGAAATGAAGGTAATGTAATATTCTTTTCTTATTTTGACTCACTCTCAAAGATAATTAATTGTCTAAATAGTAGCAACCCATTGTGAGTTCACAGTACATGTAAGATTAAAACAGATAACCAACCACAATAGCACACAAAAGAAAATCACAGGGAGGGACTTAAAGTGTACTGCTAGAAGGTTATTACTTTATACGTGTCGTCTATGCTAAGTACATTGTAATTAGTTAATGATATATATTTTAAACTCCAAAACTGAAAAAAAAAAATTGACAAAGAGCTGTAAGTAATAAGGCAGAGTGGATAAAATAATGGAATCATAAGAATTCTCAATTAATCCAAAAGCTGGAAGACAGAAAGAAGAAAAAGGGGACTGAGGAGAAAGGGTACAAATAGAAAACAATGAACAAGACAGTAGATTTTAATCCCATTGTACCAATCATTATATTAAATATAAATGGTCTAAACATTAATCAAAGACAGAGATTGTCAGTAAGGATCAACTATTTCTTGCCTAAAAGAATCTCACTTAAAATAGGAAAACCTAAACAGCTTAAAAGTTAAAGAATGCAAAAACTACACCATGCAAACACGAATCAAACACTACCCAGGCAGCATCTACAACGTTAGCAGCTTCTACTCCTCACCTTTTGGGCCTTTATTTCTGGGAGCCCTGAGCTGCCATGTAAGAGGTCTAATGACTGCCACGTTGAAGAGGCTGTGTGTAGTAATGCCATTGACAGTCTAGATAAGCCAAGCCTTAGAGTCTCCCTGTCAGGGTGCCAATGTGTGACTGTCAAAAATGAAATGAAATGCATAAAGATTGGTATCCTAGGCATTAGTGAGTTGAAATGGACTGCTTTTGGCCATTTTGAATCAGAAAACCAAATGATCTACTATGCCAGGAATGACAAATTGAAGAGGAATGGCATGGCATTCATTGTCACAAAGAATGTTTCAAGATCTGACCTGAAGTACAATGTTGCCAGTGATAGGATAATATCCATACGCCTCCAAGGAAGACCAGTTAATACTACTATTATTCAAATCTATGCCAACCACCAAAGCCAAAAATGAGGAAATTGAAGATTTCTACCAACTTCTGCAGTCTGAAATTGACCAAACATGCAATAAAGATGTGTTGATTATCACTGTTGACCAGAATGCAAAAGTTGGAAACAAAGAAGACTTACTGGTAGTTGGAAAATTTTGCCTTACTGATAGAAATAATGCTGGAGATTGCATGATAGAATTTTGCAAGACCAATGACTTATTCATTGCAAATACCTTTTTTTCAACAACATAAGTGATGACTATACATGTGGACTTCACCAGATGGAGTACACAGGAATCAGACTGACTACATCTGTGGCAAGAAGCGATGGAGAAATTCAATTTTTTGGCCAAAACAAGGCCAGGAACTGATTGTGGAACAGACCATCAACTGCTTATATGCACACTTAAGGTGAAGTTGAAGACAATTAAAACAAGTCCACAAGATCCAAAATATGACCTTAATTATAGCCCTCCTGAATTTAGAGACCATTTAAAGAATGGATTTGATGCATTGAACACCAGTGACCAAAAACCAGAGGAACTGTGGGATGACATCAAGAACATCATCCATGAA